AAATTTCCATAGTTTTCTTTATAAATCAGCAGTGATATATCTTTGGAAATAGCAGGATGATATAATACCTGTATGATTTAATTAATTAAAACATGCTGATATTAGTTGAATTAAATTTAACTTGTAACCTTTCCTAACCTTCAGTTTTATAACTGAGTGCTGAGTTCAAACTGATTTGCTGCTCAATAATAATAATAATAATAATAATAGAACTGATTTCAGTAGTACTGAAGAGAAACACCTCTTGCTTTTCATTGTTCCTCAATTTAGGTGTGTTTTATTTTGTAGATGGAATTGAAAATTGAGTGCTTATTGCTGGTTGGTGTCAGTGTTCCTCCAGCACAGGGTCACTGGGTTGGTGGCTGTGCTCTAGGATGGGATTCTGCTGCTCCTGCAGAAAGATTTGGGCTGTGACTGGAGTATCCATTAATAGCAGTAGTAATAATAATAATAATAATAATAATAATAATAATAATAATGACCCTGAAGTGGATCCCTGTGCTGCTGCCTGTAAATCTTCTGATGACAGAAAAGATTCTTAATTCTCACCTGAAAAGCTCAGATTGAGCTTGTTTTGCTGCTCAGTCTCCTTTAGCTTCTGCTCCAAATTCAGACACCTCAAAAACTGACCAGAAGCCACATAAAGCTGTGGATTTTGCTGTGCTCGTTGGCAGCGAAGTCTGGTTCACATTAACTGTGGACAAAGGCACCTGAGCCCACGGGTTGATTTTGGTTTGGCTGCTCTGCCCCTCTCTGCCTGGAGATTCCGTGCGGGCGAGCGGCAGCTCCTGAGCTGCCTGCTTTGTGTGTCCAGGGGGAATGGCTGCCGGGGGCAGCGGGAAGGGCCGAGGGGCCAAGCGCAAGCAGCAGGACGGAGGGACCACGGGGACAGCCAAGAAAACCCGGAGGTGAGAGCAGGGGTGCCGTGAGGGGACAGGGGTGGGCACAGGGGTGGGCAGAAGGACAGGCACAGGGATGGGCACGGGGGTGGGGACGGGGTGGGCACAGGGATGGGGACAGCGGTGGGCACAGGGGTGGGGACGGGGGTGGG